CTGTAATTCCTGCACTTTGAGAAGTGGAGGCGAGAGGATTGCCTGTTAATTCCAGCATTTTGGGAAGTGGAGGCGAGAGGATTGCCTGAGTCCAGGGGTTCGAGACCAGCCTGGGCAACTTGGAGAGACCTCATCCCTACAATAAATTAAAAAACAAAGCCAGGTGTGGTGGCGTGCGCCTGTGGTTTCAGCTACTTGGAGGGCTGAGGTGGAAGGATCACCTGAGCCCAACAGGTCAAGGCTGCGGTGGCCATGAACATGGCACTGTACTCCAGCCTGGGCGACAGAGGGAGACTTCTACTTAAAAAAAAAAAAAAAAAAGAGTTGGGAGACAAATCCATTGTATAACTTCACAGTTTTAAAATTTTATCTAATTAGTCAAAATAAGTCTACAAAAAAAAAAAACGCTTCTACCCTGAGAAAATGTGAAGAAGAAACATAACTTATGTTTTCTGTCTTCAAAGAACTTTCAATCAGGTGGGAGAGGTAAAAATCTTAACCTTTAACTACAATACTTTTAGGATGAAATGAGCACTAGAGGTAAAGGTAATCTGATTCAGGCATACAGAGGAAGGAATAATTAATTCTAACAAGTGACTTTGAGAATGTGTTTACTAAAGAAGTGCCATCTGACTGAGACTTAAGTTATGAACAGAATTTCAGTAAGTAGAGATTTGATGACTGGTCTTATAGCCTCTTGAACAAAGACGTGGTATAAAACATACAGCCACCCCTATCTCACCCTTGGCTGGAATGTAATATGTTTGGGGTGGGGATGGAGTAGGTAGAAAAATATGCAGCCAAAAATGTAGTACAGATCATGGAAGGCACAAAGTCTATGCAAGTTAGTTAGGACTTCTAAATATGTTTGACTTGTTATGATTGGGGGTATGGGATACATTCCTCAATACTGCTGGGCCCACTACTGATTAATATAAACAGGTACAATATGGAGTAAGGTACGGAGGCATGTAGGTATTTGTAAGAAAAATTAAGTAAAAATAATAAGAAAAGTAGATTCAGAAAGAATAAATTGTAAAGAGAATAAAGATAATGCTGAAGTCAAAGGAAAAGTCTATAAAAATAGAGAAATGCTCAACATTAAGTATCACAAACAGTTTAGAGGTCAAGAAAATAATACTGGATTTAGTATGTAGGAAGTCTCTGGTGACTTTTAAGAAAGCAGACTCAGTGAGGTGTTTGAGAATAGAAAAGAGACAGGAAGGGAAAAGAAAAACAGAAAATCAAGGTAGATTATTTTTTCCGAGAAGTTTGACAGTAGAAAAAACTAGATAGATAGGATTGTAATTTGCTTTTTTTCTTTTCCCAAGGATGGAGAGACCTGAATATAAGTGCAAAGGAAAGGAACAATTACAAAGTGGGAACCTGAACATATAATACTTGGAGAAGCTGACAAGTAGAGAGCCCAATGAGACAGGAGATGATGGGATAAACCACAAGGTCCTCCTATATTAGGTTATGTCATATTAGGTTATATAATTTACACCATAAAATTTTCAGCCTAGTGCAGTAATTTACACATAGCAGGCACTAAAGCGTGTTAAATAATTTTTAAAAATCGTTAAATTTTTTGGATGCAGTAGTAAACTATGTCTGTAATTTTAGAGCCAGGTGCAGTGGCTTACACCTGTAATCCCAGCACTTTGGGAGGCGGAGGTGAGAGGATTGCCTGAGCCCAGGGGTTTGAGACCAGCCTGGGCAATTGGCAAGACCTCATCTTTAAAATAAATCAAAAAATTATCTAGGTGTGGTGGTGCATGCCTGTGGTTCTAGCTACTTGGAAGGCTGATGCAGAAGGATTTCCCGAGTCCAGGAGGTCGAGGCTGTGGTGGCCATGAGCGTGCCACTATACTCCAGCCTGGGCTGGATGCCCAGCTTTATTTTATTCTTTTGAAGAGACAGGGTATTTTCTGTTGCCAAGGTTGGAGTGAAGTGGTGAGTTCATAGCTCACTGCAGCCTTTAATTTGTGGGCTTAAGGGATTCTCCTGCCTCAGTCCCCACAAGGTAGCTGAAACTATAGGCATGCAACACCATGCCTAGCTAATTTTTAAAACTTTTTTAAGAGGTGGAGACTCGCTGTATTGCGTAGGCTGTTCTCAAATTCCTGGCCTCAAGTCATATTCAGCCTCAGAGTAGCTGGGATATGAGCCACTGTGTCTGGCTTTTCACCTTATTTTTAAAGGAGCGAAACCAAAGAGCAACAAACACTATTTGGTTAATTTTTTCACCAAATATTTGGTTAATTTTTTCATACTGCTCAAGTGAGTTAAAATGAGATATAATTTCCATAATCGGGCAAAATTTTTTGTTTGATCAAAAACTTTTAATTGCTAGGACAATAATATTCATGAAATGAAACCCTGTGTACAAATCAATCTGATTTGTAGTCATAAAGACGTCTAACTTCCACAGTTCAAAGATCTGTGTATGTGAAATAAGATAAATGACATAAAGATGTAATTGTTGAAATTATTCTAGTAAATAGTACAAAGTAAGAGAAAGGAGTCTGGCAATTAGAAAACGAAACATCCTGTGGACCAATATTGAAGAAAACTCTTACAGATCTGTCTAAAAATTCATGAAATACCTATAAACATCTCTGAAATCACTTTCTGGTTCAAGATAGTAGATGTCAGACGATCTGCATGTAAAATCGCTCAACTTGCTTTTTGTAGCACACTAATAATCAATAGGCAAACCTCTTGTTAAACCAGATGAATTTAAGGCGTTTAGGAGGGTCTTTTACAACTTGTTACTTTTCCTAAGTTTTCAATTCTATTTTACACAGGTCATCTTCATCTTGCCTAGTTATGGCTGACTTCAAAAGACTAACTATACCAATTAAAAGTAATTTTTAAAATGTGGTAAAATATATTTTAGTTCAAATGCATTTCAGATTTCTCAATCATTAAATATTTGTCCCATTTTCAGGTTTCTCAACCAGTATATTGTCCTCAAGTTACATATTTGTAAGTTTTAAAATATATAAATCTTTCCAAACTACATTTAATATATTTTGGATGGTGGGAAGGTAGAGAAAGCATGCAATCCCTAAAGCTGGTGAACCACTTCTGATTAATATAAACAGAAAGAACCTGAAAATGAGGTGGGATGAAACATAGGAAAGTGTAAGCCCCCCACATCCCCAGGCCTCTTGGGTCCCCACCCACAGCAGCTGTGGGTGAAGAAATAAATCTAATTTTGCACCTGAAATCTCTGATCTTATTATATGACAAGCAGCCTACCTGAGGCATAGTGGTGTGACTTTGTCTTTCCTGTGATCAGCCCTACTCTTAACTCTGTAACAATTTGTATGCTGTTTCAAAATCGCAAAATAATCATATTAGACTATCATTATCAGTATTTCATAAACATTAAACTCAAAACTAGCCTAGAAGTAGGCAAGACGATGAATTAATTTAAGATATACACCAGAAAGAGCATAAAAGACAATTAGTGACCACAAACTACTTTGCTAAAAGAAGGTCATGAAGTCCTTCTTAGACCTTTACATACACAAACGTCCAGAAGATCCCTTAAAAAGTGTTCATCATCCATCTTTTAAATTCCTATATGGTCCAGCTAACCATCACTTAGAAAACATGCAAGCACATTCAGAAGACTTGTGATGGAACTCAATCGGCATTTATGTATGGGGAAGATATCCATAACTTAGTCAATTCTTTCCTAAACTATTCATCAGCCTCAAATTCTTTTTGGAAACAAGCTGTTGAAGAAAAGCAATGAGAAAGATCCATCTGAGTATGTCAAGGCAGAAGAGCCAGTTGACAGTAATGGTGTCTCAATCCCGGCAGCTGGGACCTACTATCGTCAACAGGCTACGATGTCACATCTGAAAGGACTCAGTCAACCAAGGACAGGGGGGCTGGGAGGGGAACTACCACATTATGCGTAACTTCCTATTTTTGTACTACAAAAAACCCCTTCCACGCAAAGGCTCTTCGCCTCATTACGACTCTCCCTCTGCAGCCCCCCTGCCCTCCACACACCCTTCACCGCGTCTCGCGGATGGAGATGCCGTCGCCCATCCGGTACCCCGGCTTTACCCGCTACACGGGTCCGTCCTCCCTCCCCCTCCCTTTTCCTAGACCTGCCTTTCCCCATAAAAGCCCGGCCGGCGAAGCAGAGCCTCCCCTACTTCCCAGCACGGCGCGCTTTCTCGCTTCTCCTGCGGCAGAAACATCTGGGCCTCCTGCACTTACTGCTTTCCGCCTCCTCAGGGGCAGAGGCTAGGGACTGGGACAGGGCCGGAGCCTGGGCCGGGGCAGGGGTTGGGGCTGGAGCCGCGGCCGGAGTCGGGGCCGAGTCCACAGCCGAAGCCGGGGCCGGGGTCGGGACCTGGACCTGGGCCACCTCCACCTCCTCCTTCTCCAGGGGCAGCAGCTCCTCCTCCGCCATATTCTCCATAGTTACCGCCTCCGCGCCAGGCCGGCCCGGGGACCAGGGGGGGCTCACGGCGGGGTGAGAGGACTGACGTGAGTGCCCACAGGGCTGGATCCAAGGAGTGGGAGAGCAATGGGGAGGGCAGGATGCGTGCAACAGACAAAAGACGAAGAACCAGTGACCGAATCTGCTAGACGAAAACAGAAAGCCTGAGGCAGCGGCTCCGGATCTCCGCCCGCTTCCCGGTCCGCTTCCCTTTCCCCGAGGCGTTACGACGCCACCACACACTGCGCAGAAGCGAGCTGGGGACGGCGTCCAATGAGGTAAGAGAGTTCCGTCTCCACCGTGCGTCTCCGTTCTCCGGTCACTCAGAACTCAACCAAGACTACAACACCCAGCGTGCACCGCGGCGCCGGGGGCGGAGCCGGAGTTCTGAGTCCTCCGAGGAAGGAAATGCGAATCTAACCAAGCGCTTTGGAGCTCTCGGGAGTAGCCGGGATTCGAGCGTAGAACTACATTTCCCATCAGACGTCGGGCTCGGGGGAGAGCCCCTTTCCCGTGGCCTCCTGCCTCCGGAGTCGCCGCCGCCGCCACCGGCGCTGGTGAGGTAGGAACTGCGGGGTGCGTTGACGTTTGGGTGGGCAGGTTCTCCCTCGTCCCCCGCCCCAAGTGGCCAAGCGGGCGGCCGGCCGGACCGGGGGACCGGGGGACGCAGGAGTCAGTCGGGTCTGGGCCGGGCGACTCTGTGGGCGGGTCCGGGACGAGCCCGCGCCG